GCTTGCGGAGCGCGGGTGCCACACGGCGGAGCCAGGGTCCCGCAAATGGCTGCAGGAAAGGTCTGCTTCCGCCTCCCGGCAGCCTCAAGTGATTCGCAGATAATCTGCAGGGAAAAAACACTTGTATCTTGAGGTGATAGACACACATAGAGGGCCTGGTAAGGCGGATAAGGAGAGCGATTTTTTAATTTTGCCTGGGTTTGTGTTTTAGGAGAGAAACGCAAGCTTTATGAAAAGCTGTGATGCACAGAGAAATGGGCAAATTGTCAGGTTCCCAAATGTTTAGAAACATTGAGCAACCCCAGTCTTCTTAAGGTCTGAAAGCAATATGTGTTTCTTTTCAAAGCATGGATATCACAAATGCTTCAAGGCGAACGTCTCTTTCAGCCACTTGTGTTGACCAAAGGGGATGAGAACCATCAACAAACTTTGTCAGAATTCCTCAAGATGCAGGGTTCCCAGGCCAGATGAAGCATCAACATGGCCATATTCCATGCTCACTGGCATCATGGAGGTAAGGAGTGTGTTGAGGCAAAAGCAGGACCGACAGAAGAGTGCTGGGCTCAAATTCTTGCAAACTTGGAGTCCTTCTGAGGTTGCTGCTCAAAATGAGCCTCTCTGTTTCTTGGACTTCTCTAATCCATGCCAGAAACCTCCAAATTCATTATTTGATTCACTGAATCCTCCAAAGGCTTTCTCTAATGCGTGTCATCTTTATGCTTGGACGTGAACTCTGTCAGGCTGGTTTTCAGCTCTCTCTCAGTATGTTCTCAATATTAAATGTGTCAGAGGGCACTTGTAATTCCCACATTGAAAGAAAATATAAAGTAGCATTGATATTAATAAGACAGCGGTCCATATTCCTCATTGTGATCATTCCCAGAGCCTCTGGACACATGTTGGATAGCAGCAAACGCTCTTGCGTATTGCATCTGGGAACTCTTTAACAGAAGGAAAAGCCATCTGCTACCATCTGGGAACACTTAGTGAGGAATCAGTCACACTAAAGCATTTCTCTGAGCCAGGTCATGCAGCTGTGTCAAGGATTTTGCATGCTCCATGAGGCCACCAGAGCTTTGAGTCATGTGTAAGTCACCAGGCAGCTGGCTATAGTCACTCCCTGAGATATTTTTATCTTTACGCTTAGTATAGGTGAGGTGCAGTGGTGCAGCAGAGGTGACCTCATTGAGGTAGTTGCTAGCCAAGTCAGTATGGTCTAGAAGAGATTTCTTCTGCAGACATCATATAAAAGTCTGTTTTGTTGGTGTGTATCCCCCACAAGAGCTGTTGGCAGCTTCCTCTCAGGAAGAAGTAGTGATTCATTCTTGCAGAAGCAGGCTTAGGCAGTCCCTGCAGCTTTTTCCTGGCCAAATTGGAATAGTCTAGATTAGTAATTCATGTTACAGTAGTTGCTCAGAAGTCCCTTCATGCAAAGTACTTCAGAGATGCAAAGAGGCGATCCCTGTGCTGATCTGGAGATGTGAGCTGAACAAGAGAGAAATTATGCAACTTTCTCAGTGTCTGTAGGAGATTATGGAAAATGTGTGAGCTGAATGAATCCCAAACACAGAAGCAGCATCATTACTATACATCTTAATTTATAGTCATTGACAGATTGTAATAATGTGACTTTTGTCAAGAATTTACTGAGTGATTTTATATTAAAAATAATAAGTTACACAATAAATTGCTAGATAAGAGACCTCTTTTGAAGTCAGACTTGCTTAATACAGTTCTCTAAAATCTCTGCTTTCAAGCAGTAGAATTGTCTTTGTGATCCTTTGATGCTTTGGGATCTTGCAATGTAAAAATATTTTCTATCATCAAGGTATCTCATATTTAGGTACTACCAATACTTCATGTAGCAAATATCTGTGAAGTAAGAGAAAGGGATGTGGATCTTATATGTGCAGCCAGTTATAAAATCTTCCTCTTCACCTTTTGTTTCCTACCTGACTAAAGAAGCTATCATTGATAAATGCATGCAAATACATATATAATTCTAAAACTTGTACTCTGATGGGAGACACAATAAGCAAATCTATTTCATAATCATTCTAGCCCATTGAATAGCATTCACACAAACTGTAAAATATAGATTTATAATTGTTGCTGAGTGTGTAAGATGGGCAAACATGTACACTTTCAGAGCAGGATTTTTTTTTCTTTTTGTTTAATTTTCTTGCTTTTTTATCTCTTAAATCTGTATTTGAAAGTGTGAAGAAAACAGAAACTTAAACAATGTTTGTTCCACCAGTAGGTGAATGCTCTGGCTCAGTGCAGAACTGCCTGGGCTAAGGATATTAAAAGCCATTTTGGTTTGTATAGGAGTTGCTTTTGTGGGGGTTTTGCTGAACTGAATTGTAGCTTCAGAATACGGTCCAGTGAAGTGCTGATAGGATCCAGCTGACAAGCAACTGAAACACAATACATCACCAGCTTTTCAGAACAGCTATCAAGAAGCTTCCAGTATGCAATTTTTTTGTTACAGTCTTGGTAAGGATGCTTTCACTGTTGGCTGGAAGTAGAGCAGCCACTCACACTTTCTTCTGCCATGTGACACACAGGGTGATCATGTGCTATTGCCATGTGACCTAGCACGTCAGTCATAGCACCTTCATGACAGAGACATGAGACAGTGGAGAGAGAAATCTGTTTTCTGATAATCTGGCTTACTGTTCCCTGTCTGCACCAAGTAATTTTCTGCATAAAGCTGAATAAAGAGGTCCCACTTTAAACCCATACTGAGCAGTTACTGACTGAGCTGATTCCTCTAAGCTGAATTAAAATGCAATGTTAAACAATGAAAGAACCATATGTCTTTAAAAAGAAAATTGTCTATACACAGTATGACAGAAATAGAAATAAAAGCCACGCATTTACTCATCACTAAATTTCAGATATTTAGATCCCTAAAGAAACGGCTTAGCTAAGAGCCAACCAAAAATAAGCAGGCTTTTTAGCTATATTTTTTAGCTCTCCTTAGAAGATGTTTTAGAGACAAATAACCAGAGTAGCATTTAGGACCTCGGGACATGAGGAGGCATGGCAGAGTGCCTCTCTGACTTCTGATCACAGTACAAGCCATGGCTTGCAAGGAGAGGCCCAAAGTGTTAGCTAGCCTCTGGCTGTTGTTGCCACAGTGCTGATGTGGAGTATCTGCTTTGTTGCTAAACTGCTGCCCTCACTTTTGATACAAATGTGTGTTATGTACATTACTACAATTTCATATAAATGTATAATGCTCTTTATCATAGTGTTCAGCAAAGCTGCATTTAAATACAAGAGTGCAACCAGCAAATGGGAAGTACC